AGGTTGGCGTGGTGGAATAGGGTTTCTGACGAAGATGGTGATGACACGTCAAGGGTGGTGATGTGGTAGCTGATTGCGGAATGGTGATGAATTGGAAGCATGTGGTTGGATAACACTTAGAGTTTTAAAATTGCCACATGACATGATTTAGTGAAGTCTAGTTAGGAGTTAGGGAAATTTAGAGGGTGTAAGGGTAAAATCTAACTATTAGACTTGGTTTAGAAAAGAGAGGTGTATGTAGGGAAATTGGGTGTTTCATCCTACACCTTCAAAAATTTCAATTTTAACCTTAATTAATATTTTTTTAATTCTTTTTCTCTCTTCATAAAGTCACTCCGCACTAGGGATGACAACAGGTCGGGTCGGACACAGATAGTGTCTACTCGCAACCCGATCCGCATGCAAAAAATCGTATCCGCAATCCGACCTTTTACGCGCTGGATATCCGCATAAAAAAAATCCATGGATTTTTTTTCAACTCGCGGATATCCGTTGGATACCCGTTTTCAACCCACAAATATTTAAAAAATATATTTAAATTACAAGTTAAAGAGAACAATTTAATATATTTGCTACCTTTTAAAAAGATACAATATAATTTTTAAACAAGTTAAAGAAAAACAAATACTGAACAACTTTTGAAAAAAAAAAGATATGACGAAGAAACTCTCAGTAACTGAAGTCTCAATTTAGTCACAGGATTAACCCACAAATACCTATTAATGTATGAAACAGAGAGATAAAGAATTTCCAAGAGAACGCAAATAGAACCCTAAACCCAAATTTAAAAAACGAACGCAATCACATAAATCTCCAAACCGCGATAATCACCAAAAATTCAATCTGCATCAATGAACTAAAATCCAAAATCGAACAGGGAAGAAATCAAGAAACGAACTCCCAAAACGTGAATCAAAACGTACAAAAGAAACTCCCAAAATCAGAAAACAAATAAAACTCTAATTTCAAATCCCAAATCGAAAAAAAAAACTCAATCAAAACCAAGAGGGAGAGAGAGGAAGAGGGAACGAAGCCTACTCCCTAAATTAGGTGAACCAGAAGGAAGAAGAAAAGAGTCATTTGTTAAGAGAGAATTTTCTAATGGGATTCTATGTATATGTTTGATATCTCTATTAGGATTAGGTCAAAGGTAATGTAACCCCTTGATTTTCTTTTCTTCTTTTTAAAAGAAGGTAATTGAAATGAATCCTAAGTCATTATTATTAAAATTTCCCCTTTTTTAAAGTAATAAAAAAAATTTAATTTTAAAAAATATTAATTAAATTTTTATTATTTTTTTTTCGGGTAACGGATATCTGCAGGTTCGATAGTCTAATACCCGCATCCGTTTAGAAGTGGATATTAAAATACCCGCTACCTGTTATACGCGGATAATAAATATCCGCGAATAATAACTATCTATCACAACACAAGTTTTATCCGCCGACGGGTGCGGATTTTTTTTCCATTCCTTCTCCGCACCCCTCTAATCTTTTCTCTTTCTTATTAAAGTCACCTTCCACAACTCTAACTTTTTCTCAACTCTTATCAAAGTTACCCAACCATCCTTTAATAGATTTTGAAATCTGTACAGATTTTGAAATTCCTTTAAAAAAAATTTAAATTTTATTTTTTAATTTAAAAATTAATGATAATTTAATTTAATTTAAAATTTTAATATTATTTATATCTTAATAATTATTAAAATATAATTTCTACTATTATAATAGTTATATTAAAAAATAAAAACAAAAGTAAATAAAGTAAAAGTAGCAATAATAAATATTAAAAAAATTGTTTAAAAATACTATAAATATTATTAGAATTTTAAATTAAATTAAATAATTATTAAATTTTAAAAACATTTGTTTATCGAAATCCGTTAACATATTTTAACAGTGATATTATTTTAATTTTATATATATTAAATATATTTTTATATATTTAATCTAATGTAATTTAAAATTTTAATATTATTTAATATTCATATTTTAATAATTATTAAAATATAATTTCTATTATTATAATAGTTATACTAAAAATATAAAAATAAAAACAATTACAAGAAAATTAGTAATAATGAAAATAAAAAGAATAAAAAAATAATACTAATATAAAATCTGATTTAATATATTTAAATATATTAAAATATATTAACTATTAAATCAAAATTAAATAATTATTAAATTTTAAATTAAAAACAATATTTTAAAAAGATTTATTTATCGAATTTTGATATTCAATAAACTATTGTTTTTTAATTTTGTTTTTTAATTAAAAGTTTATAATTATTTAATTTAATTTAAATTTTAATATGATTTAATATATTTTTATATTTTAATAATTATTAAAATATGATTTATATTACAATAATAATTATATTAAAAAATTAAAATAAAATAACTAAAATAAAAATAGTAATAATAAAAATTAAAAATAGTTATATAAAATTTTATTTAATATATTTAAATATATTAAATTATACTAAATTAAATTAAATAATTTTTAAATTTTAAATAAAAGAACTAAATTTTAAAAAAATTTGTTTATCTAATATCAAAATCTGTTAAAATATGTTAACGGCAAATTTTTTTGAAATTTTGTTTTTTATTTAAAATTTAACAATTATTTAATTTAATTTAAAATTCTAATATTATTTATAGTATTTTTAAACAATTCTTTTTAATATTTATTATTTTTACTTTTATCTTAATTTGTTTTTATTTTTTTAATATAACTATTATAATAGTAGAAATTATATTTTAATATGAAGAACATGGCAGCTCTATACATATTGTATCAAGCTATGCAAGAGTTTGACTCTAAGAAGATTGCAAGTATAAAATCTTCAAAAACAGTGTGAGACATTCTTGAGAAGGCTTATAAGGGGGATGATCAAGTCAAGGTGCAACATCAAATATAGAGGTGAGTTGGAGTGAATGAAAGTGAAGGAGACAAAAAGATTAGCTGAGTACATAACTCGAGGTTGAAACCGTGGCAAACAAACTTTGAAGAAACTAAGAGATGTTACTTGCTAGCCGAGTGTGAGGAAGATTCTAAGGTCATTAATCGATGACTTTGAGAATATGGTGTGTGAGATTGAGGAGTCCAAAGACCTATCAACACTCACAGATGAAGATTTTATTGAGTCCCTTGAGGTGCACATGTAGTAGAAGAAGAAGATAAGGGTTGAGTCGCTTGAACATGTGCTCCAAACAAACGAAACGATCAAGGAAGAGAATGCATTTTACCAGGTCCATGGAAGGGATGTCAGTAAGCAACTTAAATGTTGAGTGGTTTAAGTATAACAAGTATGGTCATTATGCAAATGAGCGTTGCTTGAATAAGTGCATTAGTTGTGATAAGGTCAAGCATTTTGCTAAAACTTGTCAATATGATGGAAAAGAAGAGACGACCAATCTCATATAAGAAGTTGAAGAAAATGCAATGTTGTTGATGGTGGAACGTAGCTCAATTTTTTTTAATATAATGGTTCAAATAAGTATTTCACCTTAAACATAAAAATGAAAATAAAATATAGAATAAAGACGAAAAATAAGCTTTCTAATCTATCATTATAAGAAAATAAATATTTAGCATTGATAAAATATTGATGCATATTAACTAATAGTATCATATTTGTGTCGCATTGTGTATGAGATTCTAAAACCAAAAACGATAATTTATCATCATCGACTTTGAAAATCGATTCAAAGTATAATCAACTTTGAAGGTTAACTCAAAGTATTATTGGCTAAGCTGACTCCAACTAGTGTTTTTTAATTAATTTTTCAATTGGAGAGGTTTAACGTCGACTTAGCTAATGTTAATTGTTTTTATTTTAAATTTATTTCAATCAATGTTAAATAAACTTTATTTTTCACAAATTTGCATCTATTTGAAAGACGTTAGTAATAATAATTTAAATATTTTATTGTGGATGAAACAAAATAAAAGAAAAAAAAATAGAAAAAAAATTTGTAGTGAATGAAAGATATGAGTGTAGATGAAAGATATGAATTTGATTGAGATGAGTTTGAATAAATTAAATAAGAATAAAAGTGTGAATAAAAAATATGAGTGTGAATGAAGATACTGAGTGTGAGTGAAAGAGATTTGTCTAGGACTTTTTTTTTTAATGTGAATGAAAGAAGTAAGTGTGAGATTTATATGAAAAAATTTGAAAAAATAATAATAAAGAATTCGTCTTTTTTAAATTTAGATCTTTAAATTAAAAATAATTTATGATTTTTATTTATTGTCATTAAAATGTACTAATCCAAGACATTTAAATCAACGTTAAGCCTAGACGAATAGATTTTATTTATGAAACCTTATATATTTTTAATATTTATATTTAGTTAGAATCAGTTAAATTGACTGTAATACATCCTTAAGTTTTTCTACATTAATATTTAAAAGTTAATTTAATGTTTTTTTATTGAAGTAATATAGAGTTCCTTTTTTCACGGATAGATTTGTTCATATTTACAAAAATTAGAATTTATTAAATTTATTAGGAAAAAAAATCTAAATAAAATTGTTGTCGGCAATAATTATAATGATCGTGGTTCAAATTTATGACATATTTAGTTTTACTTAAATTTAACTATTCTTTTATTTGCCAAGAGATTATAGTTGAAACTTATATGATCTTGGCAACTACAAAAGTAAAATATTGGATAGCAACTCCCTTGAAAACTAATTTAAATGATAGTTTTAAAAAGAATCAGACAACTAACATTAGTTTAGTAAAATTACTTCAGCAACATACCAAGTCAAAGTTGACTACAGAAATATTCTTCACAAATTTGACGAGTTAAGTTAATTGTGCGGAACAAGAAACACTAGAGGTAGTGAAAAGAAAGATGTGATAGTGAAGCCTGTTTATTCTATTCAATTTTTCTTATTTATATAAGAAAACTGAATTCAACAATTATTTAGTCAAGTGGGAGATATCAGTTTTAAATGGTAACAGTGGCATGGAACAAACCGTTGACTTTAACATGGCACTGTCAAATCTTATAGTGGCCATTTGGTTCATGGTAATAAAGAGTTTCAGAAGCCGTATGCAAGCATGTTCTTTGTTTGGTTCATACTGTGTTGTTATGCTTTGGATATTGGCACTGCCACAGACACTATCAACTCATCTCAGTTCATCAAGGACAATGAAACTATAACCTCCGCTGGTGGCAACTTCACCTTGGGGTTCTTCACCCCTCAAAATTCTACCAATCGTTATGTGGGAATTTGGTGGCAAACCAAATCCACTGTCATATGGGTGGCTAACAGGAACCAACCACTGAATGATTCTTCTGGAGTTGTTACCATATCTGAAGATGGCAATCTTGTGGTGTTGAATGGTCAGAATCAAGTGATTTGGTCAACTAATGTGTCCACAACATCATCCAATACAAGTGCCCAGCTTTCAGATTCTGGTAAGCTAGTTCTGGCTGAAACCACAAGGGGAACATTGTGGGACAGTTTTCAGCAACCTTCAAATACGTTAATGCCCGGAATGAAAACTTTAACCAATGCACAAACAGGTAGGAAAGTAGAACTTACAGCATGGAAAAGCCCTTCTAATCCCTCCGTTGGGAGCTTCTCTGCTAGTGTTCTTCGACGCATAAATATACTTGAAGCGTTCATTTGGAATGAAACTCGACCATACTGGCGCAGTGGTCCATGGAATGGTGCGATCTTTACAGGGATACCCATGTCATCGTTTCTTTATTCTTTCAAAGCTGGGGATGATGAGGAAGGAAATACATATTTCTATTACACAATACCAAGTCCGCTAAAGATTTTTATCTATGTGTTAAATTCGCGAGGCCAATATGAAGAACTATCGTGGAATGATAAGAAGGAAGAAATGGAAATTTCGTGGACTAGTCATGAATCGGATTGTGATGTTTATGGAATATGTGGGCCATTCTCTATTTGTAATGCAACAAACTCACCAATTTGCAGTTGTTTGAAAGGGTTTGAGCCGATGAACAAAAAAGAATGGAATAGACAAAACTGGTCAAGTGGATGTGTTAGAAGCACACCTTTGCGTTGCGAAAGGGTCAATCAAAACGTAAGTGCAAAGGAAGATGGCTTTTCGCAACTGCAAATGGTTAAAGTTCCTGATTTTCCAGAAGGGTCTCCTGTTGACACTGAATGCAGAAGCCAATGCTTGGAGAATTGCTCTTGTGTTGCATATTCTTATGATATTGGAATTGGTTGCATGTCTTGGACTGGGAATCTCGTAGACATACAACAATTCTCAGAGGGAGGACTTGAGTTATATGTTCGTGTAGCCGATTCTGATCTTGAATCTGATCTTGAACATGGTATGCTAAGTATGCTCAAACATTAAAAACCCTATTTCTTTGAACTGGATTCCTCATATTTTAAATTTGATTTTTATTTCATGACAGATAAAGGGACACACACAGCAATCATCGTTGGAGTTACAGTGACAGTAGTAACAGTCATCATAGTTACTTGTGCGTATGTCATGTGGAGGACTTCCAATCACCCAGGTATTACATCTTTGTCCTGTTTCAGAATTAATTTATAATAAACTTTACTTTTTGGTAGTAAAAGAGCTAATCTTAGTTTATGTTTTTAACTCCAGCTAAAATATGGCACTCAATCAGATCAGCAAGGAATAGGAACATCAATGATTTCCAACGATTGAAAAAAGTTGAAACACTAGAACATCCAAGCCACAAAGTAATTGAAGAACTGTCACAAGTTAAACTCCAGGAGCTGTTACTGTTTGATTTTGAAAGGCTTGCAACAGCCACAAACAACTTCCACCTGTCCAACAAACTTGGGCAGGGTGGTTTTGGTCCTGTGTACAAGGTACCTTAAAACAAAGTTATCATATTTGAATAGTTGTCTGTAGTTGTCCTCATAATATTTGTTTTCCCAGGGGAAACTGCAAGATGGTAAGGAAGTAGCAGTTAAAAGACTTTCTAGAGCATCTGGACAAGGTCAAGAAGAATTCATGAATGAAGTAGTGGTCATTTCCAAGCTTCAACACCGTAATCTTGTAAGACTTTTTGGCTGTTGCATTGAAGGTGACGAAAAGATGTTGATCTATGAATACTTGCCAAATAAAAGCTTGGATGTATTAATCTTTGGTTAGTTTTTTATCCCTTCTCTAGTATTTTTCTCATAACCAATTCCATATTAATTGTTTCTGTTTATTTAGGATACAATTGCTTAAGATGTAAACATTCATTGCATAAATAGGGAGTTTTCTTTGCAAGCATGCTAATCCAGGGCCTGTACATGACTCAGATTCATAACTTCCACTTCTAATATTGTGTTTTTAATAGTATAATTCTACCATTATATTTTAGATCCATCAAAAAGTAAACTCCTAGATTGGAGGAAGCGCTGTGGCATAATAGAAGGAATAGCTCGAGGATTGCTTTATCTTCACAGGGACTCCAGACTAAGAATCATACATAGAGATTTGAAGACAAGTAATATCTTGTTAGATGAAGAGCTAAATCCAAAAATATCAGACTTTGGTATGGCTAGAATCTTTGGAGGGAGTGAAGATCAGGCCAATACTAACAGAGTTGTTGGAACATAGTACGTCTGCTCTTCTGTCCACCATAATTTATTTCAATACTTGGAGAATGACTTTTTAACATTTTAACGCAGTGGCTATATGTCCCCTGAATATGCAATGCAAGGACTGTTTTCAGAGAAATCAGATGTCTTTAGCTTTGGTGTTTTGGCACTAGAGATTCTAAGTGGAAGAAGAAATTCAAGCTTTTATGATGATGAACATGTTCTTAGCCTCTTGGGATTTGTAAGTCTCAGCAAGTCATTTCTCATTCACAGAATCATTTGTCTTTTGTTCATACAACATAAAAATGTCTGACTTTTTTTTCATTTTAGGCTTGGATACAATGGAAGGAAGACAACATATCTTCTTTAATAGATCCAGAAGTATATGATCCTAGTCACCATAAAGATATTTTAAGGTGCATTCACATAGCTCTTCTGTGTGTACAAGAACTTGCTATAGACCGACCCTCTATGGCTGCAGTAATTTCTATGCTTAACAGTGAGGTTGCGTTTCTTCCTCCTCCAAGTCAACCTGCATTCATCTTGAGGCAAAATCTGCTGAATTCGGAGTCATCTAAAGGAAGTCATAGATTTTCCTCCACCAACACTGCTAGCATTACAACTATCTCTGGAAGATAGAAAATAAGAGCTCTAAGAAAGGTGAATCAAGAACAGTCACAAGCAATTGCCCCGCAATGAGAAAAGAACCCAGCATTGGGATTGGTTCCAAGAAACTGAATTGAGTTCTCTTCGATGGGTGTTCAGTGCTGATTGCTGACAATATAAGTTGGTGTTTTGTCCCATTTTGAAGATGTTTTTGCCATTTTCTTGTTTTGCCTCCCTAATAATTATAAACATTTACTTTATGAATTAACCTGAACTTATATTTTTGGTTTCAGTATGTTAAATGTATTCGTAGTTGTAAGTTATCGGCACTTCTAATTTAAAAGAAAGTCAGTATGATAATTATATCTCTTAATTTCTTAGTCGGTTCAAACTTTCATTAATCATAAATATAAATAATGTTGTTGATGAATGAGAAAAGTAGAATATTTTATTAAAATGACTTAAATAGGTCTTGATTTCATGAAATTTGACACGAAATTGAAATTATTTCTTGTTCAAAATTTTGAGATATTTTGGTCCATGGAAAATGAATGAATATAGTTTTTTAAATTTAAGTTAATTTTTTTAAAACTTAATTTTAGTTCAAGAATTTTGATACGAATTTGAAATTATTTCTTGTTCAAAATTATGAGACATTTTGGTCTCAAACCTTAAGAATGAATTAATATAATCTTTTAATTCTAACTAAGTTAAATTTCTTAATATGCCAAATGTGTTTTATACGAGTATTTGAGTTATTTATACTATTTGGTATATTTTCACTTCAATGCAGTTGAAAAACGTATTTGACAAAAAAAAATTAATGTAATTGAGTTAAAAGTATTTTATTCATTCATTTTTAAAATTTAAGAACTAAAATATATCAAAGTTTTGGATAAGAAAGAATTATAAATTCATGTCAAAGTTCAAAAACTAAAAACATATTTAATCCTAATAAAAATTATTTCAATGTAGAACGATTCCAACAAATTATGCTTCCTCCTTTTCCTAGTTTTATTTGAGTCATAATATCTACCTACAATTCATCCAATTACCAGAGCAAAAAGAGAAATCTGATGTAGTTGTTCTTCAATAGATGTAAGAATGAATGTGGAGTTTTAAGCCCTTCCGATATTTCACTCTCTTGTGAATTCAAATCATTTATCTTCATCGTATAATGTTGTTACTCTTTATTCACTACTTAAAATGTGTTTTTTTTATGGAAAACAATTAAATGATGTTGTGCTTAAGGTTGCAACTGAAAAATTCTATGAATAAGAACTGCCAACTCGAAAAAGACAATGAATGACTCTTGGAATCACTACAAAAAAGAAGGGCATTACCGAAGGCCAGGAGCCCTCGGAAACAGCCCGAAACCGTCGGTAAAAGGTAATTACAGACGGCTTATCGACGGTCAAAGAGCCCTCGGTAAATCCCTTGTCGCTAATATTTACCGAGGGCTTCCACCCTTCTGTAATTACCGAGGGCCAAAAGCCTTCGGTAACGACCAAAGGACAGAGGCAAACTAAGAAAATCACCCAGGTAAATCAAAACACACACCCTTGGAACATTATATTTTTTAAAAGACAAGAAAAAATATATCAGAGAAGAAAAATGCATGAATTTAAACACTTCTTTATAAAATAAAAATTAAAGAATGAGATTCAGGGCCATAACAGAAGTACAACTGACTAAGGTCTAAAACAAAGGGTGCCTTATGTGGCAACAATCTCAAAACTAAACATCTACATAAAAATGTAAGAAGAAAATGCCTTAATGCCCTCAACTGTTACAATTGTTAAATAAAATTAAATGCAGCTTATTAGTTAACTTAATATAGTTAACTTAATATCGGTCACAATAACAAAAATTATTGTTACATAGAGCATCTCAATAAGCTTAAAAATCAAAAGGTGCTGGGTGAAATATTTCCCCTTCCCTATCAGCAATATTGGCAGCAAAAATATCATCTACTGAGGCGAAAATAGAAAACATGTTCAGGGGGAAGGATTCATCCACTTGATCAATTCATACATAACACACAAAGAAAACTAAATTTTACACGATATTTTAATACCACTTCAACATTATTTTAATACTCTGTATACCTGCAATCATATACCATAACAGCAGCCCATTAGTTTATAACCAATAATTTAGTCCCTTTCAATAGAAGATATATGGTCAATAAAACATAGTGACAAAGAGATCAGAGCAATTTAATTATCACATAAGGCATTATTAGTACTTATTGACTATCCTGCAGCAAACAAAAAATGGTTAAAGATGTTATACTTATTTTGAGCTTATTTAAGCTTCCATTTAATCTAAGCATTTTTTTTAAGTTTTGAGAGAGTTTATAAAAATAAGCAAAAGTGAAATAAGTTTATCCCATAATCTAAAATCAACAATAAGAAGAAGTTACATGATTTTAACTTTCTCTAAAAGATTATTTTAACTAATACGTAAATACAATTTATCGTATAATAATGTTTTTTCATTCTTAATTTTTCCCTATCAATACTTTTGGAAAAAATTATCCAAACATGATCATATTCAATGTCCCCAAACATGATCAAATACCTTAATTCATTTTATCATATTTTACATAAGACTTCATTATTCATTAAGCTGTTTACCCCAAACTGTAATTTTTCTATGATTAATACACCAAATTATTCCATGAATTTACAAGAATCAATCAATCTGATCTCGGAAACAATAAAATGTTATTTTAACCCTTGAGCCTATCTTTTGTCAGTTCACCAATAAAAATAATATTTTTGTAGTTAAAAATTGATGGGTTCTAGTAATTCTGAGACTAATTTGGTGGTTTTCAGAATCTCAAGTGGTATTTAATTGCAAATGCTCACAGGGACAATTTGACACAAAAGTAAACACATCATAATAGCACATGATAAACTAAAAATATAGCTACTAGCAATTCCTCCAAACTTAACGTTATCAGTTCAACCCTCAAACATGGGTGACACAAATAAGTAACTAGCGGACAAAACTAATGGAGGAATCTGATTCTTTCTTATGCATAACGAGAGAGGAAAAACAAAAAGAAAACAGTTAGAAAATGGAAATGAAGAGGAAGCCTAACCTTGAGAGAGAAATTGAGGGCCACAAAACAAATTGAAGCCTAAGCCTTAAATCTGCGACGCCCACACCGCCCACCAACGCCTCAGCCACCAGATCACGCTGGAAATTCTTCACACCACAATTGACCACCTTATCTTGCCAAAGTTTCAATCTTTTCCCCTCTGAGTCATCTTCCTCTGCGCTCATGCTTCGATTCCCTGCCACCGCCTCTACAACTCACTAACTTTGCTCAAAAGGGAACACACCCATCAATATCATTTGTTTTTTCTCAGAGAAAACCCAATTCGGAGCAATTTATATCAATCTGGAACCTAGCTTATCCCTTTGCGAAATTGGGTCAATTTTTTGGTAGTGAGAGAGAAAGCAAAGTAAAAATGCGGAAAGATGAAAAAGAGTTTATTTGTAGAGATGGTAGCCTGCACAACGGGCACGACCCGTGGAGGTCGAGCAACGGCGTGATGCAATCGGCACGGAAGAGGTGTTTGCAAGGCAACTGTTTGGCCTCAACGTCAAGGAAAATTTAGTCTTTGCACACAGCGGAGAAAACGACGTCGTTGGGGTTGAGCGCGGAAAGGAGTGAAGGTGTGACGTTGACGGAGGGGAGAGGACGGGGTTTGGCGGAGAGGGGCTTGGAGGAGAGGAGTAAGAGCGCGTATGGGAAAACGTCAAAGAGGGGTGATTCGGCGTCGTTTTGGGAGAAGGGAGAGTCCATCAGTTCGAGGAAGGAGGTATGGCAGTGGGGACAAAGGAGAGGCGAGGGAAGGAGCGTGAGGGACACACTCATATCGCATTCGTGGCAGCAGTCAGTCTTTGGTTCTGGCTCCGTCGTCGTTGCCATCGGAAGTGTTTCCCTCTGCGAATGATTATGAATTTAAAAGGGAGGCACCCTCCGCGATTGCACGAACCCGCTCAACCACCGGAAATGCTCGCGCTCTTCACAACACCGCTATGCCAACAGAAGATGGAAGGGACCGATGATGCGCAAACAAGGAAACCAAACGAAGGAGGAGAAATTTGGGAGGGAACCAAACGAAGGAGGATAAATTTGGGGGTACCCTCACACACCCTTAGATTTCAATTTCGGGGGAAGAGAAGGGAGAAATTTGAGGGAAAGGGAACTGCTGAAATTGCAACTGAAATTGCAAATGAGCAAGGAAATACCCAAAATTTAGGTTAAGTCATGGTGCACAATACCGAAGGTTCATATCCGCCGGTAAATTACGGCATATCGCAAATTATCGAAGGACACTTGGCCGTATGTAATTATCCGCCGGTAATAAACGCGTTTCTTGAATGAAACATGTTTCACTACTCGCATTAGAGGTATGGAATAGTTTGTTATAATAAAAGTCAGCAACCCTTGTTATGTTGTTGACAAATTTAGTTTTGTTAGTTAGCTATAAAATGGCAAGGACAGATCTAACCAGAAATTCATTCATACTTGTATTCTCTAATATTCTCTAATATTCTTATTATATTTCTTTTCTAATACACATTCTCGGAACCTCATTTTCTTGGATTCTTTGTTTCCTTTAGTTATTGGAGTGTTATATTCGTAGAACTAGTCTTTTTAATGTATCGGTTAGAATGATTCTTTTTTGCAACCCTTTTCACGACAAAGGCTATTAAAATAAACTTAAACTTAAAAGTTATTTCATAGTTATTGTGAGAAATAATGTTTTAATGTTTTAGGAGAGAAAAATCCAATAAGTTAGCGTGAAAGGCTAAATGTTTTTCCTTTAAATTGTAATGTTCACGTGATATAAAAGATATAGTAAAGTAAACCATATTATACAAAAAAATGTGTCATTTATTAACAAATTGGTATCAAGGCTTGAGAACTTAAGTGTCTGAGTGAAAATATAGCTAGAAAAAAAAGCGAGGAGCTAAAGAAATATTGAGTGTTTGATTGTTTAAGGAAGAAAGAGTCAAATGACCAACCTCACAAACCATATGTCCCTCCCTTAGCTGACAAAGAAAGTCAATTATGATAACTAAAATTTGCAAATGAAGGCTCTTCTTGGATTCCAAGACGTGTGGGATGTAGTTGAGAATAGGTACCAAGAGATAGTAGAAAATGAAGAATAGACAGTTGTTGAGGTTGTTATGTTGAGAAAAATACGAGAAGGACAAATAAGATTTATACGTGTTGTATCGAGTTGTGGATGAATC